GGGCTTTGAGCTTGGGATGAGGCGTAGTGCGTGCTCGGTGACGTCCCGCGGTATGCCCAGCATGTCAGATGACTTCCATGCGAACACATCGCCATGGGCTCTCAGGAAGTCGATGAGCTTGCATTCCTATTTGGCCGGGAGCTGGGTCCCGATCCGCACCATCTTGGTTGGGTCAGTGGGGTCAATCCCCACCGCCTTGGTTTCCTTGAGCGGGTGGAAGGCCGTCGAGGAGGTTGGTTTGTTGTAGTCCGAGACTGCTGGGGGCGATGACTCCCTGAGCAGCGGGAGCTCGAATGAGTTGATGACCGCGGTGGTGAGCTTGAAATGCTCACGGTCGCATGTGAAGGCATGCGAGAAGGCGCTGCTCATGATGATGACGCCGTTCGGCCCCGGCATCTTCAGCTTGAGGTAGGTGTAGTTGGGGATTGACATGAATTTGGCGTAGCATGGGCACCCCAAGATGGCATGGTAGGACCTTGGGAAGTCCACCACTTCAAAGGTGATGACCTCCAAGCAGAAGTTGGCTCGGTTGCCAAATGTGACGGGTAGGTCGATCTGCCCGAGCGGATATGCCTATGCTCCTAGGATCACCCCATGGAAGGGGGAACCCGCTGGGTGGAGTTCAAACAGGGGGATGCACATGGCATCGAGGGTGTCAACGTAGAGGATGTTGAGGCCGCTGCCTCCGTCCATCAGCACCTTGGTGAGGCGCTTCTCGCGAACGATGGGGTCAATGATGAGCGGGTAGCGTCCTGGTCTCACGACGTGGGAGGGATGGTCCCTCTGCTCGAAGGTGATCAGAGATTCCCACCATCTAAGGAAGGAGGGGACGGCCATCTCGACGGCGCATGCCTCCCTATAGCGTACCTTGTGCTGGCGCTTGGAGCAGATGGCCTCGGATCCACCAAAGATCATGATGCATTCCTTGGGGTCGAGGAAGCTATCCCCGTCCTTGCCTGCCGCACCTCCTTTCTTGGCTGCCGCCTCTTTACCGTCTCCTTCTTTTGGACCGTCGGCCTGTCGTAGGAAACATTTAAGGAGCTCGCAGTCCTTGTAGAGGTGTTTGACGGGGTAGGCGTGGTTGGTGCACGAGCTATCCATGAGCTTGTTGAAGTGGTCAGGTAGGCCCTGCTAGGGCTGCTCGCCCGCACGATCAGCTGCGGCGACCAACGCGGTGTTGTCCGGTTGGTGCTGATCCTTTTTGTTCTTCTTGCCCCTCTGAGTGGAGGGGCCCTCGTCTTGGTCCCCACGCTTGGCCTTGCCTTTGTCCTGACCTCCGTTGAAGACCGCTCCAACCGCCTCCTCACCAGAGGCGTGGTTAGTGGTGACATCGAGCAGGTCGCGGGTGGTACGGGGCTTCAGGAAGCCAAGCTTGTGGATCAGGGACTCGCAGGTTGTCCCAGAGAGGAATGCACTAATGATGTCCGCATCGACGACATCAGGGAGGGAGTTGCATCGTTGGGAGAAGCTACGGATGTAATCCCATAGGGACTCGCTGGGCTCCTGCTGGCAGCTCTTGAGGTCCCAGGAGTTACCAGGGCGGACATACGTCCCTTGGAAATTTCTGACGAAGACCCTCTTGAGGTCCGCCCAGTCACGGATGCTGTCGTAAGGGAGGAATTCAAGCCACGCCCGAACATGTTCCCCCACGTAGATGGGGAGATATTGAATGATGAAAAGGTCATCATCCACCCCTCCGGCTCGGCAGGCGAGCCAAAAATCTTCGAGCCAAATACCGGGGTTCATCTCCCCGGTGTACTTGGCAATGTTGGTGGGCGGTCGGAAGCGCTGTGAGAACGGCGCTCTCTGGATATGCCAGCCAAAGGCCCGTGGTCCTGGGTCCTCAGGGCTGGGACTCTGGTCGTCTGGTCGGTGGCCATGCCTAGGGCACATTTCACTGCTCCCCTCGATGGTCCGACCAGGGCCCGTGTCGCCTATCCTCGTCGCCGCCCGAAGGACGTCATCATCATACTAGGCCTGATGTCGGTTGCTGATGAAGCTACGAGCGTCTTGGTGCGGACGGAGCCATTTGCGTACCTGTGGTTAGTGTGGAGCAGGCGCCAGGTCGGACCGCAGCGCAGCCGCGGCCTCTCGAGCCGCGCCTGGCGACTATAGCGGTGAGCGGATGGAGCGATCCGTCTGGTGCGTCCCCACTCGCCTAGTAGGGAGAGAGGGCGCGAGTCGGAGTCGCGATGCGGAGCTTTCCGCTTGTTGAACGGCGGCGACTTCTACCAGCGCCCGGAGGTTCCGGTAGACCACCCGCTCCTGGGGGTCGACGGGCTCGGGAACGCCGCGTAGAAGCATTGCCGTAGCGGCGATGTTCTGGCTAGCCCGAGCGAGCTGTGGGGGGTCATTCCTCTCATTCATGATGTCGCGCTGGACCTAGCGGGCGTGACCCCAGGCTAAGTGTTTGAGCGTGTGCTCGAGGTTTGAACCTAGTGGTTCTCCTATTGTGTGTGTTGTTCGAGTTGTTGTGAACCAATCGATCTATCTGTTTGGGAGAGAGCGCATCCCCTTTTATAGATGAAGGGGATGGCCTTACAAGTGAGAGGGAGAGAGTGTACGTATGCTAAGTCTTGTCGCCCACGCTATCGGGTACAGGATGATTGTAGGCGCCCATAACACTATTAATGTTAGATGCATATAGGAGGCCGTGTCGTCTTCTTCAGGTATGGCAAACGTTGGTGCCTGCCATACTGTTGATACCCAAAGGTATGCTAGGGGTTTTACCATGTTCACCTGGTACGGTAAATGTCGGTGCCCACAACACTGTTGATGCCTCAGAGGCACGTGGGGGGAGCCTTACCGTGTTTGTCTGGTATGGGAGTTGATGGTGCCCACAACACTATAGGGGAAATGTCAGCGCCTACAACACTGCTTGGGTTCTGTCATGCCAGGAAGGTCGCAGGGTACTGTCTGGTAGGTGTACAGGGTACGGTCCTTGGTATTGCGGTTGACTTGAGTGCCCTACCTTACTTTTTCCATCCGTTTCCTGGTCCTTACCGAGCAGGCGTCCCCGGTCGGTTGGTCCCAGTCGGCTCTTATTGCGCCAGTCGGAGAGGAGCTATAAGCAGGGGTTCGGCACATTCCCGGTCGGAGAAGCGGGTCGGAGTCAGAAGTGGTGTTTTGGCCAGGCCTTCCGGTTGGAGAGGCCGTCCGAAGGTGGGCCGGTGTCGGAAGCGAGCGTTGTTCCTCTTTCGTGAGGCCTTCCTATCGGAGAGGCGGGCCGGAGTCAGAAGCGGGCGCCGTTCCTTCTCGGCCAAGCCTTCCGGTCGGAGATTGGATTGTCCTTCTAGCCTGTCGTTTAGGTGTTTGGGCTAGCCCATGAGTTGCGTGTTGTTTGCAACATTGTCTGCTGGGCCAAGCCTTTGTTTGGAAGCCGGTCCATGAGGGACTCCAGGTTTATGAATCCGACAGGTGATGTGCATGAGCCCCTGTGGTGGGGCACTCTCAATGGTGCTACAATCACTTGTACTTTTTTGGAGTTGTGCTAATAGAATTTGTGCTCGGCTTCGCCAAAATTCTAATCTCTTGTCTTGGTTGCTTCAACATTGTCATTTAGGGTTTTCTATGTAATTTGACTAGATCGTTCTTGATATGGTGCAAGCTCGTGTTATACTTGCAACATCCTTTAAAAGATCTGAGGGTTGCTGTGCATAACTGGAAGTATCAGATTCTAACAGGTTATATATATACTAATCAGCTGCAAATTCTCTTAATAAATTATATGTGTGAAGGTAATTTAGTTTATAAGCACTCCTATACAGCTATGTTTCCAATATGGTTTTCTGCAAAGGTAGTGCATGCAGGAGAAAAAAAATTCCCTTAAAAATATCTTACAGGGCACAGTTGTGTACAGCTTTTCAATTCAATAATGATTCTTTTAACACAAAACTCTGCACTTACCATCCACTAACATGCCAAAGTACAACTCAAGAGGCCTTATGCGCAGTCGAAATTAGTGAAGTTTGGAAAATTGTGCAACCAAATAGTATTTCCATGGAGTAAAGAATGTGCCGAATTTTAGAAATTTGGCCAAAATTGTTAATCTTGAATCTGTACAATGATGGCTTCTTCAAGATAAAAATTAAAAAAAAAATAGTTATCATAATTGTAGCATTGTGTATGCTAAGGTTGTCTAAGCTAGCTGCTGCAAACCTAAATTAATTAGATTTACATTCTCTTCACCGTAGAATCTATGATTTTATTTGAATGAACTAAGGAACATTTGGGATTGTATTATATCATATATTTCAACAATTAGATAATGTACTAGAAACAGTTGATCATATATGTTTGTGCAAATTATAATGGATCTAAAGACATATACACGCATAATACATCACAAAAGAGCCATATAGTACGATATTACAAAAAATTTCATGCCATATCCTACAAGGAATTTTGAAGAAATTAATTATTTACTATTTTATAGAAGTAATATAAGAGACCCTTGAAATCGGGTCAGTCCAGCTAATCCAGCTAGCATTGTGAAGTTGTGACTAATAATCGTATGATGGAATTAAGGATGGCGGCTACGCGTTGTGTAATTGCATCAGTCAATTGTAAGCCAATATTAGAGAGGGAAAATATATATAAACGAAGTAGGAAAGGCTTACCTGCCAAAGATAACATGTTAGGCATCAAATATCTGTGGCACATGCCATCAGGGCACTACCCACATGCCCAACCCAACCGCTGCTTTTATTTATACACCTCCTTGGCCTCTTGCATCAGTTTATTTGCGCTGCTGCAGCCCAAGTCTCTAGTGCCAGCTTGTTTACTTGTAGATCCAGGCTCTCCTCCGATCCATCCCCAACCCCAAGTCTCTCTCTCTCTCTCTCTCTCTCTCTCTCTTCTCTCTAGCTCTCTAGCTCAACAAGTCCAGTGCTGCCATACTGTTCTGCTTGTTCTTGTATGTGAGAAGAACCCTCCTCTATGCTATAGCAAGATCCATCTCGATCGCTCAGCTTCATTTCCCACTCAAGAGCTGAGCACAGATGAAGAGGCCGACCAGCAGAGGATCCTCAATGGTCAGCGGTCAAGCGGCTACAGATCAACAAGGTAGAGGTAGACAACAATTTGCTTGCTTGGCAGTTCTTACATCTACATTTTGTTCTAATTAATATCTTGAAAACATGATTATCAGTCGTATATATATGCATTTGATTTGAAGAATATGAAACCGTATATGGGATAGTGTCAGGGTGACAAAGACAGCAAATTAACAAGAGGCTACAGGAAGATTTTAGCACCACCACTACTGACAAAGTGACAATATATATAACGACACTGCACAACATTGCCTATTAATCTAGTCTGCTAGCTTCATCTCTCTCTCTTGCTTGCACTTGCAGAAGACAGCTGCAGGTACATGGAGCGGCACGGAGGAGTGAACGGCAGCGATGGCACGGCCGCGGCTGAGCGCGACGACCTGGATGCCGGGGCGTACGACGAGGAGGAGGACGAAGAAGAGGAGCTCGCGGGGTTTCGCGGTGGCCTCGGCGAGAAGAAGCGGCGTCTGGCGGCAGATCAGGTGCGCGCGCTGGAGCGGAGCTTCGAGGTGGACAACAAGCTGGACCCGGAGCGCAAGGCCCGGATCGCTCGCGACCTCAGCCTCCACCCGCGCCAGGTCGCCGTCTGGTTCCAGAACCGCCGCGCGCGCTGGAAGACCAAGCAGATCGAGCGCGACTTCGCCGCGCTCCGCGCACGCCACGACGCACTCCGCGCCGAGTGCGACGCGATCCGCCGAGACAAGGACGCCCTCGCCGCCGAGGTACGGAAATGGATTGTTGCTATGTCTCATCCACCCTTGTGGAGGTTTAATTTACAGATCAGTTGATCGAGCTTGAAGCCATCCATGTGATATGATGTCCATCTATATGCATGCATGTCAGATAAGGGAGCTTAGGGACAGGGTGGAGAAGCAGATGGAGGTGAAGCTGGAGTCCGCAGAGGAGCTGCTGCCGGTCGCGACGAGGACAGCGGCGGCGGCCGCGGCCGCTGTGTATATTAAGGACGGGTCGACGGACAGCGACTCGAGCGCCGTGTTCAACGAGGAGGCGTCGCCGGCGCCCTACTCCGGCGCGGCCTTGGACCAGCCGCAGCAGCAACAAACGGGTGACCAGCTGGCGGGCTTCACGGGTTTCACCTCCTTCTTGGCCTCCTCTTTCCCTTCCATATACCATGGGGATTCGCATTTGGACCAGGAAGCAGACGGCTTCTTCAGCGCCGGCGCCGCCGCCGACGGTTTCTTCGCGGAGGAGCAGAGCACAGGCATCGGCAGCTGGTACGGCGGTGAGGGTTGGTAGAGAGGTGAGGTGAGCTGTTGGCTGCCTGGAGACTTGGTATCATAATATCCATCCACCATTCTTGTAAAAAAAATATGGCGCTGTACATGCATGCATGGGGCCGGGACGGGGGTAAGTATGTAGAGTCAATTTCTATAGTTTTTACTGGCGGGGACACAAGGTTATGGAAGGAGAGAGGCCGGGTTGTTATTCTACAAATCTGGGTTGACATGCTGTTGTTACCCCCTCTCCTGAGTAAATTTCTTACAGTACAGTATTAGTCTAGACATCTCTCTAGCTCTCTCTCTCTCTTTTAGAATGTGGACAGTACATATACCTACTTGTGGGGCATGCTTATCAGAGAAACATGACCACATGTCAAGGAGACAGAGAGGATTAAGGAAATGCTTGAGGATACATATGTAAATTAAAGGCATTGTAGCTAGGTTACAAAGTTAAACAACCTAGCTGTTATGTAAAATCATTTTTATTACTACATTATTTGGAGGGAGAGATACACCCCCTCTGTCATGTAATATTATGCATTTTAAAAAATTTAAGACAACTAAAGCGCAAATCCTCAAATGATACTGTACCCATAGACTAATATCAATTAAGGTGTTTCTCCTGAAATTATGGTTTTCTTTTTTTAATAAACTTTGACAAATCTACGCATTGACAACTGTAGAATATACTATATTTTAGTATAAATTTTAAAAGTCACAGTACAGTGTATTTCAGGACGGAAGGAGCATTATATATATCATGGGTGAAGAATTAGCTAGGGTAAAAACTAAGAACTAGTGAGAAGAATGTTATACATATCCACCTGTGGAGTTAAAACTTTTCGCATGCCGTATTTGTACCTAGATTGTCAATCTAGGATGTGCTTCTTTAGGCAAGAATATAATGGAAGTGAAGCAAATTAAAGCTAGCTAGCTAGTGATGCAAGCGTGACAGCGACGAGTGGACTTGTTTAACCATGTACTGGAAGCAGGGCAAAGAAATTGAGGTCTCTTTCTGGCTGATTGGTGACGATTAGAAGGGGATGGGGGGAGACAATGTGCTCGGCTCGATGCGGCCCTCTTTATTTGCAATATTGAAATGCTCCGGTATAGACCAGCAATACTAGTGGTAGTATAAGATATACTGGCCGGATGTGGCCCAGCAGGCTCTTCTAGACGAAGGCGTGCATCTTGCTCGGAAAGTGAAGCGCATAATGAGCTAAGCCAATGGATACAGCATATCTGCCCGCAGTTTCATATGTTCACGTACGACGTCGTCATTTGGTGATCTTGACATCACCCTGCTGCGGCGTTTGAATGTACGGGGCCGATCTATTTTTATTTCAAGTGTCATCTCCGAGCAGATCATCACGACTGTGGAGTGTCTCGTCGACAGATTTTATATGATTAAATCTATTAGATCACGACTGTGGAGTGTCTCGTCGATAGATTTTATAGGGTTAAATCTATTAGATTTTTATAAATATGATTCACCGGATAACGGTAGCACAAATTCTAAGACACAATTAAATAAATAGAAATATGACAGATTTAATAAAATCTGTCAACAGATAAATACCAAAAGTTTTATTTGAATTCGACAAACAAATTAACGGGCGTCTATCTACGATGCTCCTTTGATTTTGAATACCATTTTACGTATACTCTCCACCCCAATAACTTCTGATGAAAAAAAAGCTCAGACCACAAGGAGATATGACATCCCTTGGGCCTTGGCTTTGTCTTAACTCTTAAGGGATCGAGTAATAACAATTACCAAACACTGGCAAGAGTATTACACACACTTTGCAAATTCCTAGCCTGCTGGATACGAGTCTACACCTTCTGTCCTTTTTTAAGTGGCCCTTGGAGTTTTGTGCTAGTTTGATTAGATTTATAGAAAATATTAGTAACATTTTTATCTTAAAATAAGTATATTTTAAAATATACTAAATGGATGGCGGTTACGAGCTACTGGGGAAAACCTGAGCCCCCGCATCGCTCTCGTTGGGGCGGCTCGGGCGACGTTCACATCGCCGACTTCATGCCTCTCCCCCGCTCGTTCCCAGCCTTGTCGCCACTGGAGCCTGACGCCAGAAGCCTGGCGGAGGGTGAGGATGGTGGCGGCGGGGATCTTCCTTCCCATCCTCTCCTCTCCGGTGGTGGCTGCTAGGAGCTCGGGGCAGCATGTGGTCGAATGCAGCAGGCGGCACGTGGTCGCGGCCGACGACACGGATCTGGCTCCGTGGCCGTGGGATCTAGCATTTCCCCACCCAATTCTATTAGTGCCCCAGGCCTAGAGCTCCGGGTTAGGGCGGAGATGCCGGATGCGGTCAGGGTGGCCAGACCCGGTCGCCGGTGGCCGGATCTGGTGGTGGCTACCGGGTTCACCTCCCTATAGGGTTTCCGGCGGCTGGTTCCACGCGAGATGTCGGAGGCCGCGTGGTCGACGGTTGGAGCTGCCTGGTGTGGCAGAACCGCCCGAAATAACACGCTTTCGGAGGCACCCTGAAAGTTAGCTACATCAGACAGTTCCGTCGAACCACCCTAAGGGACACTCGAAACAATCCACGTTTTACTGCCAGGATCTAATAATGAGTACGAGCTTACAATACTTAGTCCATTTCATACCTCAAGAGTTCTTGAAAATTATTTATTACAATACCAGATATCGGTACGAAAAGTGACCAACAAGTAAATATTTGTAGTTTTGTCGTGCGTTGTGATCGGATGTGGCCTTGCACTCAATGACACAAGATTTATACTGGTTCAGGCAACGTGCCCTACGTCTAGTTTCAGTCAGTCAGAGACTTTATTTCTGAGCCTAGGTGCTCAAAGTTTGCTGCAGGGTTACAAACGAGTAGGAGTAAGAAGGGGGTGTTAAAGGCCCGGTCGGACTCTGAACCGAAGGACTGAGAGTGATGGGGGCTCTAATGTGCGCTAAGTATTGGAGCATATACTATGTGTAGCTTTAGAGTTCTAGAGCTGTGGAGCTATTTAAATGCTCCGATTGTCTAAAGCCAGCCAGAGAGCCTAATGATCATCAGTCTCAATGACCTTTTTCTGTTGGGAGTGAGCGCATCCCCTTTTATAGGTGAAGGGGATGGCCTTACAAGTTGAGAGAGAGAGAATGTATATGTGTGCTTCCTAATCTTGTTGCCCACGCTGTTGGGTACGAGATGGTCGTCGACGTCCATAATACTGTTTATGTTAGACGCATGTGGTAGGCTTTATCGTGTTCACCTAGTAAGGCAAATAACGGCGCCCACAACACTATAAGGCAAATGTTGACGCCCACAACACTATAAGACAAATGTCGTCGCCCACAACACTGTTTGGGCTCTAACACGCCTGGAATGTTGCATAGTACCCTTTTGGCATGGCCTGGCAGTACTGTCCTGTAGGTGTGCAGGGTATGGTCCTTGGTATTGTGGTTGACTTGAGCGCCTTACCTTATCTGCTCCGCCTGATCCCTAGGCCCTTACTGAGCGGGCATCCCCCGGTCGGTTGTTCCCAGTCGGTTCCGACCATGTCAGTTAGAGAAGAGCTGTAAGAAGAGGTTCGGTGTATTCCCAGTCAGAAAAGGAGGTCGGAGTCGGATCATGTCCCCTCCTTGGCCATGCCTTCCGGTCGGAGACCGAATCGTTCTCTGGGTTGGTCGTTCCCAGTCGGCTCCGACCGTGTCGGTCGGGAAGAATTTCGAGCAGAGGTCCGGCGTATCCCCGGTCAGAAAAAGGAGGTCAGAGTCGGACTATATCTCCTCCTTGGCCAAGCCTTCCGATCGTAGACCGGATCTTTCCCCAGCCGGTATGTAACTGGGCCAGCCCAGGAGGCGCATGTTGTCGCTACGCCGTCCGTTGGGCCAAGTTTTTCGCTAGGAAGAGGGCCCATTAGGGAGCCTGGGTTTATGAACCCGACAGGCGCCCTTGAACCTTTTTGGGACTTCTGAGAAGTCGTGAAGGGGTTGTCTACACTCATTTTTTGAGCGCACCCAGTGGGCATAAGATCGTGAGTCTCGGGTCGGGCGAGACAGAGCGTAGACCCATGTGTCGAGCGTAGCCCTACCCTTGGGGGTTGGTCGAGGTGGAGCCAGCATTCGGACATCGGGCGAGGCAAAGCCAGCCCTCGGACGTCGGGCGAGGCGGAGCCAACCCTCGTGGGTCAGATGAGGCAGAGCCAACCTTCGGGGTTCAGCCGAGGTGGAGCCAACCCTTAGGGGTTGGGCGAGGCGGAGCCCGCGGCCTCAGTGTCCACCAAGGCGGAGCCAACCCTCAGGGGTCGGACGAGGCGGAGCCCATGGCCTCGGTGGTCGGATGAGGCGGAGCCTAGCAAGAGGTGTAGTCACGCTCTTGATGGCTTGGATGAATCAACGTTGATGGTTATTAGCTCCTCCTCTTCGGGTACCCTAGTATTGGTCCCCGACAGTAGCCCCCGAGCCCCCGGATGATTCGGGTAGAATCGCCTCAGGGATTTTTTGACTTGCCAGTGGGTGTAGCCCCCGAGCCCCGTGCGATTTCGGGTAGAATCGCCTGGGGGATTTTTCGACTTGCCAGTGGGTGTGCGCGAGTGCACCCGGTGGGTGTAGCCCCCGAGTGAGATCCGACCCCTTGCCGTTGCTGGGGTCAGGTGTCACTAAAGATCGAGGAGAGGATAACGGAATTAGTAGAAGAAAACGTCTCTTGTTTTCACACGTACCCCCTCCCTAGGTTCTGAGCAATGTTTTCCTATATGGTAAACGGTCTTTACACGGTCGCCCTTCGTTTAGCATTTAGGCTGTTTACACGGTGTTTAAACGAAGTTAAACGGTCTAAACAGTTTTATACTTTAAAAAATACATATAATTATATATGTGCTTGTAAAAAATCAAGTATTCTAGCATTTAAACATATTTATCCGAGTAAAAATCAATTATTTTGGTATGTATATATATTTATGCATGTGAAAAGAACCAAATATAGATATTTATGCATGTAACATATCAAGTGTACACATTTATAAATATAATAAACTTAAGTA